CCCCAGCGCTGCCGTGGTGCAGCAAAAGGGAATGCTGGCTGGTCATCCCGGCACCTGCCGGAGGTGCGTTGCGGTGTGGAGGGCACATGTGAACTATTACGTGACCATGAGGCTGTGTCTGTGTTATTAACACATTCCCCAGAGAGTGTTTCTCTCTGTGTCTGCTGTGCAGGAAGCTCGTGACGTGGTTACGGGCGATGCGCCAGCCTCGGCCCGCTGAAGGCAAAAAAAGGTAGCGTTGGCTCCAGGAGTTCGTCTGTTCCTGTTTGGGTAAGAGCTACTGTGCTCTGCTGAGTGATTTAGCACTTCCAAAAATGGTGACGCATAGTTGGTGTTTCATTAATGGCTTTAATCAAAAGTTTCCAATATGCTTTACAAACGATATGCCTGGTCCTTTGTATCAGTAAGAAGCCGGCTAGGGCCACTAATTTCATCACTACTTGGCAGGAGAGGGAAGAATCCTTACTGTCTTGTGACATCTTGTGGAAACAGTTGACATTACTACAACAGCGAATTTCTTACACTACTGGGGTCTTTCATTATTTCAACATACATATAAACCCCCATCAAACTACCAGGATTTCTGAGGGTAATGAGCTATTTGGGTACAGGTTTACGATCCATATAGATCCCATAGGATCTAGGGACCTGCCTGTAGTCATTTTACTCAGCCGTGGACAAACGCAGCTTAAGGTGGTCTGGGCAGACCAAGACTCATTCTTCTTAAGAGCACTGAAACTAGTGAAAGGTTTAGAGAACTTGTCCTATGAGGAGCGGCTGAGGGAGCTGGGACTGTTTAGTCTGGAGAAGAGGAGGCTCAGGGGGGACCTTATTGCTCTCTACAATTACCTGAAAGGAAGTTGTAGGGAGATGGGGGTCGGTCTCTTTTCCCACATTATGAATGACAGGACGAGAGGGAATGGCCTCAAGTTGTGCCAGGGGAAATTTAGGTTAGATATCAGGAAGAATTTCTTTACAGAGAGGGTTGTGAAGTATTGGAACAGGCTGCCCAGGGAGGTGGTGGAGTCCCCATCCCTGGAGGTGTTTAAAAACCATGTGGATTTGGTGTTGAGCAACATGGTTTAGGGACCCTGACAGTGCAGGGTGAATGGTTGGACTCAATGATCTTGAGGATCTCTTCCAACCAGATGATTCTATGATTCTCGTCTAGGTCCTACCTCATTATCAGGCGTTTCCTCTTTTCCCATGCAGTGCTCCCTGAAAGGCCGCATGTGGGACAACTCCTTTTTTCTTCATTACCATGCTGGGCAGAGGACGGCTTTCAACTGATAGAGAACGGGAGCAGGAGTACAGCAAACTTAAGGCATCTCTCCATGCTGCTAATACAGCTTAAGTTTGCGGGAGACAGAATCACCATGGAGCTGTACAGCATAAGGTAGGTTTGCACACGCTCTGAGAATACCACGAGATTGCAATATTCCTGCTATTTAATAACTGAACTTGTTAAGGTATATTTTGAAATTGCAAAATTAATTGCATACTAATAATGGAAGCAAACCTGTTTCTAATTAAAACAACAAACCCATAGAGCAGTTGATAGTAGAATTGTTTCTCTTGAATTAGAACTGGATTAGTATTGTTATTCAGAATTCTTTGTTAAACCTGACGGGGAACACAGGTGAAATAAATCTCTCCTCTGGTAAATTCAAAACAACGGTTTGCCTAAAAACAAATACACCCTGTTCAGTATAGAGACTGTTTGTACTAATGATAAACTGCAGAGCAGCACCACATCTCAGTCTCTCCTTTTCTACTCTTGCTTGACTCACCAGTCTAATGCTGCAGGAATCTGTTTTGCTGTGCTTTGCAGACCCGAGTAAGGAACTGCTCAGTGGAGGTACTTTTGAGCTCTCTAACTAAATTAGGTCTAATGGAGGAGTGACCACAGATGCTATTCTTGTCCCGTAGCGAAGATTTGTTTCTTGTTACTGCCACCTGTGAGCTTCCTCGCAGCAATCTCATTTCTTTACTTCGTTGTGTAAACATGTATGTCTAGGTGGTGCATACACATGCACAAATTTCCCAGGAAGAAAAGGAAAGATTCAGATTCTTTCGCCTGACTTCTGTCTCTCACTTCCCCTCTGCAATTTCTACTCGGAGTGCAGAGCCATGGCTTTTGTAAGCTTCTCAACCCGTTTCATGCTTAGGGAATTGGAGAGGAACTCTGGCACTCTGTTAGCAGTGTAGGTACAGGGCAAGCTCTAGCAGGAGAATAAGAGGATGGTGTTAATGCCGTTTCCTAGCTGCAGTCTCACCCTGCAGTCATCACCCTTTTAATTGGTCATACGTGAGGCAGTGTGCATAAATTCCAGGTCATTGGTATGAACATTTAGATCTCTGAACCTGAACAAACCTATTCATGGGCTGAATCTGAAGCAGAACCTAACTAAAGTAACGTACTAATTTGACTCTCCAATTCACTGATTTTACTTCTGCTGTCCTGTGCTGAGTAGAACTGCAATGGCAGAAGTAAAACCTGCTGCTCCAGTAAATAATCTGCTCAAATGGGAACAATTTATTTACATATACTATTGGGCTACCTGAAAACAGAAAAGAATGTTAAATCATTGACAAGTCCTTCTCTATATCAGATCTTCATCGCATGGTATTAGGTATTAGAAGAAAAACCTGATAAACCTGATATAATCAGAATTCCCCATGGAAGAGAATCTGGAGAATGTGCCTGCAGAATTCCCAGAGGTTACTGAGAGAAGTTAGAGTACTACTGAGGAAAGAGCAAGTATATTGTAGAAAGAGCATGAGGGAATTCTGGCTGCAATGAAGATCTTCCAGTTTTTCCAGAGAGAATCCGAAGACTCTATTTCTTGGCATAGCCAAATAAACCCCTGTAGAATACCTTTTCTTTACACAAAAAATAGAGTATGGCTAAAAAGTTTGGTCACTATGTTGCTGAGTGACATTTTAAAACTGATCCATGCATGTTTAAGTTAATAGACTAATTAGAGATTTAGTTATTTATGATCTGGGATCACAGAAAAAAACATACTGAAATTCACCATTATTGTGTTGTCATGTCCCATTTAGGACAAGGGGAGCGTGACTCGGATTCGCAAATCCCCTCGGATTTGGTGGACAAAGGTGACGTAACACTCAAGGTCCAAAACAAACATCAGTTTTAATGGAGAACTTGTATACAACAAACACTTGGAACACGTGGGCCCTCTCCCAATTATATCCACCCCAGCCACGTGGCTTTACAGAAAATCAAGGTAAGCCTTGTGTTACTGAACAACTTTAGGTGAAAAAGGAGAGATGGGCAGGAAAGAGAGACAGAGAGAAAGAAAGATCGCCAGTCCTGGATCCAGCACTGGACCTGCCAACGGAGGGAAGAGAGTCCCTAATTGGAGTGGGGGAGGGATGCCCCTACTGCCCCCTGCTCCTGGAGTTCTGGAACCTTCCCTGATCCATGCTCCAGGAGCGGAGACAGGAGAAGAGACACTCGGCCCCTCCCTGTAACTCAACGCTGTCGAGGCAGTGCTGACAGCACAGACACTTGGGGCTTGTCCCTTACATGTGTGCAGAACAGCGGATGAGTGCTGGGCTAGGGAAAAATCTGCCCACAGGGAAATAAAAATCAGCAAATAGGGAAGGAGCTGAAGTCAGTCTGGCAAAATATAAGCACAATATGTGGATAAGGGGTTGGCACAGACAATAACAAATGTAAGGTTATATTAAAAGAAGGAGGTGTCTAGCACAAGGTGCATGCTGTAACAAAAGGAATCAACTTCCGTAGTAGCGATCTCTAAATTTACAGCAGAGCAATAGACAAGCAGCATTTATAACAGTGAAACCAGACGAGTTCGTGCCGAAGCAGAAGTATTTCTTGTGCAATGCAAAAAAGATATTCTGAGGGGATTGAATGCAGTGTTATTTGGTGGGGTAAGAAGGTTGCGTCGTATTCAAAATACGAGGTAAATCTGAGCAGTTATATGTTAATGCACAAATGCAAATAGAAAATGACTGAATTGACAACCGTCCCTTTCAGACATGTGAACATTCGGAATCGTCAGGTAAGGCTCTCAGTGTAGGAGTTCTTCTAATGGAAGATCTCCTACACTTCATCGCTGGAGTGATGAAGATTTCCAAAAGCAAAAATAAAGTAATGGAAGCCAAGCTTTTAGGCAGACAAGACCATGTCTAATCTTCCATTTCCATTTTTGCCAGATACACATTTAGGCAAATTTTCTTCAGAGCTGTGCTACCGCTTGGAATTATTCCGAACATTAGATACCCTCATCCTGGAGGATCTCAGGAAACTAAGTAGTCTAATGGCAGCGAGAAAGCTCTAGATCACAGCATTTAGAGAGCCACGACCTAAATGATCTTCTAGAGATGATAAAATATTCGATATTCCAATGTACATTTAGTCATAACTATCTTAATTAATGCAAACGATACGTTGTCATCACCTTTTTGTCTTGTATAGAAGAA